GTTCTCTTCCCCTATGACAACGTTTTGTTATTCTTTCCGAGGGAACTGGTTGCGATATTTTTTTCCGAGGTAATTTGTTGCGATATTCCTTCCTTAATACATTCCTTCCACGTTCTTTTTCGTATATTCGCATTTTTCCAATTAACACAGTTTGCCAATATAATGGAACCGTCATGTATTTCCAGGATGGGGTTGTAATATATGTATAGAGTAATATTTGATTGCACGAATATTGCGAAGCAAGCCTCGTGGCTTGTGTATAAAAAAACTTGTGTTTAATTTCCACATAATGCTGAATAATACTGAAACCGCTGGTGTTAGTTCTGTGATCATTTTGAGGTGCACTCACTGAAGGTGTGGAAGATGAGAAGAAAACGCAGCAATATATTTCTCAACATAAATCAACTTCTGTTGAACTTGCAAGATGCACGTGCAAGAAATAAGTGGAAATGGTAACAAATGAGGAACGGTGTCAGAATCTTTCAACTTCAAGGTAAAAAGTTATAAAATATATTACTAAAAATAAATTTAGTGGGAGTAATTCTGAAGTCTTCAAATGGAAAAGTCGTGCAAAAATATGATAACGAGCGCCCACGAAGTAGAACTGGCGTATTTGTGGAATAAAAATTGACATATTCTGAGAATTGGTTGCCGAAACTTTTTGTTACCTTACGGGTTGACCCGATCATTGAAAGGTTCATCTTTTACCATTGCAGTGAGCTGAATTCCGCCGTCTCGGTGTCACATTACCAGTAAAAATGACCTCTGACACTAGTTGCTTGCACATCTGTGATCTGAAGAACCGTATCCACGTTACGCTTTTCGCCCTCATGTATCTCATCCATCGAATGGCTTTTTGATAACTTCAATCTAAAAATTCGAAAATCATACCGACTTAAATCTACAAATTCGACAATGCACCATCACATGCATCAAATGAGGAACGGTGTCAGAATCTTTCAACTTCAAGGTAAAAAGTTAAAAAATATATTACTAAAAATAAATTTAGTGGGAGTAATTCTGAAGTCTTCAAATGGAAAAGTCGTGCAAAAATATGATAACGAGCGCCCACGAAGTAGAACTGGCGTATTTGTGGAATAAAAATTGACATATTCTGAGAATTGGTTGTCGAAACTTTTTGTTACCTTACGGGTTGACCCGATCATTGAAAGGTTCATCTTTTACCATTGTAGTGAGCTGAATTTCGCCGTCTCGGTGTCACATTACCAGTAAAAATTACCTCTGAAATTAATTGCTTGCACATCTGTGATCTGAAGAACCGTATCCACGTTACGCTTTTCGCCCTCATGTATCTCATCCATCGAACAGCTTTTTGATGTAACTTCAATCTGCAATGCGCCATCATTGCAGATTGAAGTTACATCGACAATGCGCCATCATAAGCATACCTGTCTGGAGGGCAAAGGGAATTTCGACCAGCGAACCGAGCACCCGTACCTTCCTCGCTGTCAACATGCCTGTGTGTGTTCGACCTCGCCAGATGAAGGTGATAGTGTTGAAAGTTTTTTGAAAATGGCAAAGGGAAGTGAAAACTGTCATAGAATGCAATCTGGGAGTAAATACGGTCAACTTTCGGGAATTACAAGTTCAAATAGTCAAGATCTTTTGAAGTAGCTCCGCGATTAAGAAAAATTTCTGGAAAAGTGGCTCCGCGATTAAGAAAAACTTATAGAAAAAGTTGCTTCAACACACCTGACTAAATCTGTGTCAAATGAAGTCTAAACGGATTTTAGTTCCCACAGATCGCGGAGATCTTCTGAAAAGTATTTCCCGCCTCCAGAAACGAACAGCCAGAATGTTTCAACAAAGCTGCGCCCCGCAGCTAATTGGCTAAGATTAATGTACCGAACGAAGCCTCAACTGATGGATTTTCATAAGAAAACGATCCAAGCATCTGGAGGAACGTAAGCACGCTCCAACGAGAGATAAATCTTTCCTTACAATCAAGTGGAAGAAATCGAAGATTCAGTTGAACATGTACATTTTCACCACCCACGCAGTACATGCCACGTGCACGCAGGACCAGAACATGTACAGCAGTAGATTTTTGGGCCGTAAAATCCTGAAAGACAATAGAGTTCACACTCGACTACAAACGAGAGAGAATAAGATCGATCAACCAAGTCGTCGGGACGCAAAACTGTAACGTTTGACATCACTGACTCGAGTCCTTCCTTTGACCGCCGTGCCAGGGAGTCGGGGTCAAGTAGAGCGGCTTCACACCTGCACTTGAGGTCTCAATCTCAACCAGATCTTCAGAGAACTTCAGCTAAATGGCTTTCGTTAATGTAAATGTATTCCGAGTATCAGAAAAAATTTGAGCGAAGGAAGATGACGTTACTCTCCAGCCATAGCGAAAATGGTCGAGACGCCACTAAAATTTTTGACAATCCTTTTGACGCTACTAAAATTTTTTCTCAAAGCAGCGCGCACCGGTCGAAATCATCGTAAGGTACAGAACTTGCGTCGAGCTAGACGAAACGAATTGCTCTCGATGGCTTTCTTGTGCCACTCGCGTTGAAGAATGGAGATTGCGGGTACGTCCTGGCGGAGAAAATGTGTGTGCACTTGTCCGGCCGCATACAGTGCGCTTGTGCCATGGCAGTGTCAGGAGAAACAACATCGTAGCCGCTAACAGCTTGACTAAGAGGAGCAGCGGCCGCAGTATCAGCACATGTTGCGCCGGAAGTTGCATGTGTCACGTGCTGATGGGCACTGAACAGCATGAGTGCTTCTGCGAACATGGCAGTGTCAGGAGAAACAACATCGTAGCCGCTAACAGCTTGACTAAGAGGAGCAGCGGCCGCAGTATCAGCACATGCAGTTGCGCCGGAAAATGCATGTGGGCACTGAAAATGCTGATGGGCACTGAACAGCATGAGTGCTTCTGAGAACACTCGAGTTGCACTGCCTGATAATTAACAATGATAATGGAAAAAATGTCCTTATTTTGTATGTCAGCTTTATCTTGTTAGTAAATTTGATACCCTTATTATTTTGTTCACTATAATATAAATTAAAATAGTGAATTTGAAGTTCATAAAATTTCAGAATTTTCTTTTATGCCATTGAGATTTTGTTCATTTCAGTGTTTTAGTGTTGCAGTTAATTTTTTTTAAATACAGGCTATGGTTCCTCACCTAATAAAATGGTTCAAAAAGCGTGAATAGTTGTGTTGAACAAGATTTGAAAGATCAAGTTAAAATACATGAATTTCAGTCGAGTGCCCACTTTATTTTCACATTAAATCGTGTACACATCAGTTTTAAAATAGATATGTAGTACAAAAATTATGGATAATAGAAGTCTATGAGATAAAACAAGATCACCATCACAGAATAGTCTACACAACAACGTTCTCTAATTTTAATGCTTATTTAATACGTCAATACACATGTACGTCCGTATAAATAGTTCATGGAGACAAGTTATTTAACAAGAACCAGGAACGTTCGCGGGATTGTTTCAAATGAGTTTCACAGTCATTCCGCAACCGCACAAAGAAAACATAAATGAATTGTAAATAGTTTCTAAATTATTATACAGTCGTTCCTGAAATTTTTAGTTTAGTAGCCACATGTTTACTAGTGCTTCAGCTATTTAGCTACCTCGCGCTGAAAGTCAAGATGAACATCACCAACGAGATGGGATGTCTCAATTATTGAGAGTTTTTGGATCAAAAAAATTGTTCACCCACATGGGGCGGAAATTCGCAATTATTGTCCAGCCCTCTGAAGCTGGCGCGAAGAAAGCAGCGTTAGCATCTATCAGTTTTTTTCAAGTATAAAGTTCTAAAGTACATCAGTTCTTTTTTTAAGTATAAAGACACACTTCCTGTTCCTATGCGATCGTCCCTAATTTATCAATATAGTTGTGCGCTATGCGCATTTGAGTATGTCGGTATGACATCTCGCAACTTTTATACTAGGCTGGCGGAGCATAAAGGAAGAGTTTTAGAACAGGAAACCTGCTTGCGCATCCCCCTCATTCAGCAGTACGCGTCCATGCCGAGCAGTGCAACGTCCCAGTGTCCGATAGTGGTTTTCGAATTTTAGCCTCCACGACCGGTGTTTCCGACTTGCGAATTCTAGAGTCCCTTTATATTTTTAAACAAAAGCCTATTTTAAATGCCGCTAATAGTTCATATCCCCTCGAAATTGTAAATAGATAGATTTGTGCCCGTGTTTGCTTTATTCTTGTTTGTTTCTCATTTGACGATTTATGCATCAATGTGAATTTATTGCTAATTGTTTGTACCTGTGTTTTAGGTTTTGAACTGATGATGGAGCTGGTCTCCGAAACGTTTTCCTTTTTAAGAAATGACATTTCTTCTTCTTTTGTCTTTTTGATGAAATCAGTTTACTTCTATTGTAGTTCATTATAATTAGCCTGTCGTGAACACATTTTATTTTAATTCGAGGCATCAATAAACGGCGTTGCGGATCGATGAAGGCTTTCGCTGAAATGATTCCTTTCTTTATCAACAAATAGAATTCGGTTTCTTTAAACCGAAATACGGCAACATGCAACGCCTAGAGTATATACTAATAAATACATGTTTCCTGTAATTATTTTACAGTATTCCCAAGGAAATATTTTATTGGTGTAAAGCAAATTCGTGATCCTCAACAAGCAGTTGTACTAGTCGCCACTAGTTGGCACATTTTAACTCTCTATGACTCGGCCAACATATACATATACTCGCTCCTTCATTCTCGCTCATTGGAATATATAAGAAACTCGTACATAATCGCACTCTCCTAGCATAGTATTCATGCTATGAAACTATAACGCTTTATTGCCTGCAAATATTCGGTTATCTCATGCACAAGCAAGCATCTCGACATTTTTTCCCGATTCGTAATCATACAGGTAGCAGCCAAAGCTCATCATACGCCGCAGATGCCATCGTATAATTGTTTTAGTGTGCTGGGCAGTTGGCACAGCACATCGTACAATTGTTTCATTGTGCTGGGCAGATGGCACAGCACATCGTACAAGGTACTGGACCAGGAGGTGGGCGGCCAGTACGAGTATCGCGTCATGGCTCACAACATCCACGGGGTCTCGGAGCCCTCGAAGCCCTCTCAGCCCATCACCCTGCAGGGCGGACCAGACAAGGAGCTGCAGCGCAACGGCGCCAGGGGCGACGCCCCCCAGCAGGACGACGAGGAGGGAGATGATGGTCAGGACGTGGTGCTTGTTGAGACCATGACGAACATTTCCGCCATGGCGATTATGATAAGGATGGTGGTCATGTTGTGGTGCTGGTTGAGACCATGACGAACATTTCCGCCATGGTGGCGATGATGATGCGGATGGTTGTCATGATGTCTTACTAGTTGAGATTATGACGAAAATTTCCGCTGAGCGATGATGATGAGGATGGTGGTCATGATGTGTTGCTTGTTGAGATTACGACGAACACCGTAAAGTCATTTTCATCCTGTGTTTACAAGTCCATTAACTATTCAATACTATTCGTATATAACTGCATGAATGACGACAGTGCACAATGATCTGGCTAGAAAAGTTATAATTATTTTCTTGAATGATCAGGCATCGCGGACTTCGAGCACTGCGTGGTGGAGGTTGAGAGCGGGGAGGCGTTCTCGGAGTTGTATTCGCTGCACGAGGAGGTGGGCAAAGGCCGATTCGGCATCGTCTATCGATGTACCGACAAGCGCACCAACAAACAGCGAGCTGCCAAGATCATTAAATGCATTCAGGCAAAAGAAAAGGAAAAGGTCAGTGTTTAGTTTGATATCTTCGTTCTTTTGCTTTGGTTACGTTGAGTTTTGAATAACTCTCAGCGAGTAGTTTGTAGTATATTGTCCAAAAGTTTTTATAACCTGCTGCCAACAGCCGACAAATTTCAAGTCGTTGGCCGACAAATTTCAGAGGCAGGGGGAGTTCAATGTTTCATCCTTGACCATTTGTTTTGTCTAACTCGGCCATTTGTATGGTTCACTCAGGCATTTGTATAGGCTCATGCGATCATTTGTATAGGCCCGTGTCGCAATTTGTGTAGGCTGACGCGGCCATTTGTATAGGCTCACGTAGCCATTTGTATAGGCTGAAGCGGCCATTTGTATAGACTCACCTAGCCATTTGTATAGGCTGACGCGGCCATTTGTATAGGCTCACCTAGCCATTTGTATAGGCTCACCTAGCCATTTCTATAGGATGACGCGGCTATTTGTATAGGCTTATGCGACCATATGTGTAGGCTGACGCTGTCATTTGTATAAGCTCTCACGGGTATTTGTATAGGCTCATTCCCGCTTTTGTATAAGTAGCAGATGCGGCCATTTGTATATTTGTATAGGCTGACGCTGTCATTATAGTATAAGCTCTCACGGCCATTTGTATGTGATCATTCCCCTTTCGTATAAGTTGCAGATGCGGCCATTTGTATATTTGGATAGGCTGACGCTGTCATTTTATAAGCTCTCACGGCCATTTTTATGGGATCATTCCTCTTTTATATAAGTTGCAGATGCGGCCATTTGTATATTTGGATAGGCTGACGCTGTCATTTTATAAGCTCTCACGGCCATTTGTATGGGATATTCCCCCTTTTGTATAAGTAGCAGATGCGGCCATTTTTATGTGCTGACGCGGCTCTACTGTGCAGGTGCGTGAGGAGATCTCGATCATGAACGCCCTGCGACACCCCAAGCTGCTGCAGCTAGCCGCCGCCTTTGAGCGCCAGAGAGACGTCGTCATGGTCATGGAGTTGTGAGTTCCGGTTTTTGCGTGTACTCCTTTATAAAAAAATATAACTCAGTACTCACTGCAGTGAGTGACATGAGAGCGCATTTTCTCGTCGACGAAAACGTGACAGATGGACAAAAATGTCACGGACAGACGACGGATGGACAGACAGACGGACATGACGAGCACAATAGCGCATTTTTTCCATAAATGAAAAAATGCGCTAAAAGTTATTATGTTGCATTTCTCGAGAATAACAAGTATTTTGATCATATTTTCATTCCTATAATGTTGCATTTCTCAAGAATAACAAATATATTGATCATATTATAATTCCCTTTACATAATTTCCAAGTTTTGGCTCTAATAGAATCGGCTACGTCTAGAATGAAAAAATGCATACATTTTCCCTTCCGTTCATTTGAAATCCGGCAATATTGTCCGGCATAAATCCGGCCGGATTGTCAAATCCGGCAATATTAAACAGATGGCTTAATTAAATCTGCAAAAGATTTGTGAGATTTGTGATTCTAGGAGTTTCCAATCTTCATATTGTGAATGAGACGGTAACTCTAGTTACCAGAGGCTGTACTATCAAATCGTGCTTAAGTGCACGTAGAAGCTTAATATTATTGTAGTTAGGCAGAAGTTCTTCATTTATGCAGGTTTGATTGAAGAACACAGAATACTTTTTATTAACAATTTTCTTATTGTTTTCAATAAGCCGAACAAAATTTATTCCTGGTGCTTGTAGATCTTGTTTGACTTATTAAAAAAATAATAAGAAAATTGTTTACAAACAGTATGCTATGGTATTATGCTATGGTCTTCAATCAAAACCTGCTCAAAAATAGAAGCTTAAGTACACATAGCGGACGATTTCTCGTCTTGTCGGTTATTGTTGTTTAGCTTCTAAAGCTTTCAGTGATCGGCTTTTTTAGTTAAGAACTCGTAAATATTTTCCAGGTTAAGGAATTTATTAATATTTTATTTGTATTATTTTCCATGTTATGCTCGTGCAGCATCGCGGGGGGTGAGCTGTTCGAGCGCGTCGTGGCCGACGACTTCACGCTGACGGAGCGCGACGTGGTGCTGTTCATGCGGCAGATATGCGAGGGCGTCCAGTACATGCACAACTGTAACATCCTCCACCTCGACCTTAAAGTTAGTATCACCATAACATAACATAACATAACATAGTGATGTCGGCTCTGAAGTGTAGGCCTGATGTGGCCTGTCGCCGATTCTTTTCCATTTCGTGCCTTGTTCATAGATCTAAACTCGTGTCATTTGACCGGATCTTTTCATGACTGGCGATAGTTTGAAGAAGCTACTAGACTTCCACCGGGTTCGATAAGGTGTATAAGGATAAGGTGGTTCATGTATAAATTAACGCAGTTATTCCTTTTCTCCGCAGTGATAAAGGTAACAATGGTAGAGAGCACGAGACCGTAACGGTCTGTAGATAATTCTCTAACAAAATTCGGGGACCACCAATTCTTCGGCCGAATAGTCACTACACTCGGCGCAAAGTTGTTCTGGGTCTGTTGGTCACTCGATCGAAATCAGTTTCTGGTCAGAATCTCCTTTCCGGCATTATAGTCGTCTGAGAGTATGACAAGGGATGGCCGAGCCTATAGTCATATACCGAGCTAGCAAGCTGCCCAGAGGCTGCCCTCCGAACCCTGAGCCGAAGCGGTTAAAGAGAAGCAGATTTATGTGCTCCCCGAGTCCTAGGCGGCCCAAATGCAAGGCTGCTCACGCCTCTAAATTTTATTAGGGTTGATGGAAAGCCTAAAAATGAACTTTGGAGGTAGATGTCAGCTCGTCTCAGGTGATGTCATCCAGTCAGCGTTTGCTGGATGTTCAGAACCTTTCAATTAGCATTGTATCAGTGATCTATCACTCTCTAGTAAAATTCTTTATCATAATTATTGAATAAATCGTGAAGAAATACCAAGTTCCTTCCAGCTGGAAAAACTCGAATTCGTGCTCACTATCACCTCAGCATTAACTTTTTGGACACACAAATATTCCTTTTATTCCTCAGTTCATCTGTAAATTCACTAAAAAAGCTCTAAAAAAATCATAAACTTTAGTACTGAAAAAAAATCTCTTCCATAGTATTAAGACAAGCTAAGACATAGTATTAAGACAAGCTAAGAAATAGTATTAGGACATGCTAAGACATAGTATTAAGACATGCTAAGACATAGTGTTAAGACATGGATAGCATTAAGACATGCTAAGATATAGTATTGAGACATGCTAAGACATAGTATTAAGACATGCTAAAACACAGTATTAAGACATGATAAGACATAGTATAAAGACAAGCTAAGACATAGTATTAAGACATGCTAATACATAGTATTAAGACATGCTAAGACACCGTATTAAGACATGCAAAGACACAGTATTAAGACATGCAAAGACACAGTATTAAGACATGCAAAGACATAGTATTAAGACATGCTAAGACAACGTATTAAGACATGCAAAGACATAGTATTAAGACATGCTAAGACAACGTAGTATTAAGACATGCAAAGACACAGTATTAAGACATGCAAAGACATAGTATTAAGACATGCTAAGACAACGTATTAAGACATGCAAAGACATAGTATTAAGACATGCTAAGACAACGTATTAAGACATGCAAAGACATAGTATTAGGACATGCATAGTATTAATTAAGACATGCTAAGACATGGCTTATAAGACATGCTAACCACCCCCACAGCCCGAGAACATCCTGTGCGTGCGCAAGACGTCGCACAAGATCAAGCTCATCGACTTCGGCCTGGCGCGTCGCTTCGACCCGGCGCAGCCCTGCCGGGTGCTGTTCGGCACTCCCGAGTTCATCGCCCCTGAAATTATCAATTATGAACCCATCTCCTTCGCCTCGGACATGTGGTCTGTCGGTGTCATCTGCTACGTACTGTGAGTACCTAGACACCGCATCATGTCCTTGCCCATTTGTTTGCATCGATGAGCGGCTTGACATCACTTGCTCAGTGAAACGTTCGTTAAGTTTTCCATCTAAATTTGCATAGCATAAGATTTCAACGGTAGCTGTCATTAATTTAATAAATTTAATTAGTTAATTTTATTACTTCGCCTAACGGTGATGTGAAAATTGATTTCAAACTTTTTCACAGATTTCATAATTCATGTATTTAAAAGGTACGAAATGTCTCATTAGTGCTCAGTTTGGCCGTGCTCGCTGGACACTCGTGTATCACTATCTCCTACTCCCGCAGCTTCTATTAATTATAAAGCATTACGCGAACACTTGAATTCCTCAAAGTTTCTGTTCGTTAACCCTCTCAATTTATTCCATATGCCTTGATATTAAATTATTTATATTCTTTAATACAATACCGTACTAATGTTCGTGCGCGGCTTGGATGCAGTTTGTCCGGCTTGTCACCATTCATGGGCGACAACGACGCTGAGACTTTCGCCAACATCACTCGGGCCGAGTTCGACTTTGACGACGACGCGTTCAACCCCATCAGCGACCTGGCCAAAGCCTTCATCACCTCCCTCCTGGTCAACAGAAAGGAGTGAGTAATATGGAAATAGCAAAGTCGCAATAGCGGCCTTCACCCGTTCACCGTGACCATGGGCAAAGCCTTCATCACCTCCCTCCTGGTCAACAGAAAGGAGTGAGTAACATGAACATAGCAAAGTCGCAATAGCGGCCTTCACCCGTTCACCGTGACCATAGGCAAAGCCTTTATCACCTCCCTCCTGGTCAACAGAAAGGAGTGAGTAACATGGAAATAGCAAAGTCGCAATAGCGGCCTTCACCCATTCACCGTGAACATAGGCAAAGCCTTCATCAATTCTCTCCTGGTCAACAGAAAAGAGTGAGTTATATGAATTCTAGTGTGTTTACAGCGACTATGCGTAGGATTTCTTAATCTTATATTACTTCTTAATGTACAGGTATTTCATCGTTTTTTCCTCTCTCACGCATTTCTTAGATGTTTTCTCTGAATTTCGTGAATCAGGTTACAAGTTTCCGTTAGTTTGTTTTTTTACCCCTGTGTTTTGGGCCTAATATTGTTTTTTTTTTACAGGAAGCGTCTGACGTCACAGGAATGTCTGCAGCACCCATGGCTCACCAAGACCGAGGGCGCGATGTACGACCGTGTTATTCCTACCGAGAAACTCAAGAAGTTCATCATCAGGCGCAAGTGGCAGGTCAGAACCTTAGAAGATCAGTGGTTCTCAAAGATCAATGGTTCTCAAAGACAAGTGGTTCTCAAAGATCAGTGGTTCTCAAAGATCAGTGGTTTTCAAAGATCAATGGTTCTTAAATTATGCTGCGTATACCACTAGGTGTACTAGAGAGTCTCTCAGGTGTTGATACGCGAACAGTTCATATGGGTCTATATAGTTAATATTTTTCTAGCTTATACTTTTTACATCGAGAAAATTTGTACTGTCAAACATGAGTTAATCTGGCAACGATTTGCAACCGTTACCAAACCCCCTTCACGTGGTGCCAGCGGCCCACCGTTCCAAACAATAACAGTTCAAACAGTAAACAGTAGTTCAAATAGTACCTAGAAGATCAAACAGTACACAGGAGTTCAAACAGTACACAGAAGTTCAAGCTGTACAAAGAATTAATGTGGTACATATTAGCGCAGTCTCTGCTGCATAGCATCACCTTCCAAGAAAAAACTCGGGCGTTATCGGTGTCTAATATGATGGTTCTAAACATTGGTGTTTAATGCACTCCATATGCCTACCGGGTTAGCAGCCTCTAAAAAGTAAGTGCGTGTCAATAGGAAAGCGTGACTTATTCTTTTCGGAGCCTTTGCTTCTGACAGTCTTCTGTAAATACGACTGCACTACAATATACATATATGTGTTTTCGCTCCCTCCATCCCAATGTCTCCCTGCACATGCCTTGAACCAAATGGGCCTGTCCCAGAAGGCTGGAAGTCCCTAACCCATCTTCTCGACCTCGTCTACCTTCATCCTCATCAAGCCATCTCCATCTGCCATCATAAATTAAACCATCGCAACTAAGTTGACCTGACTGCTCGAAAACTCAAACGTCTAGAATACAAACGGAAAAAGAAATATTACGGACAAAAATTCTCGGTGAAACCTTTTTATCCAGACACGCTATATTACCATAACATCAAGCAAAAAGACGAAACAACTTACATTCAAACATCCTCATCCAAAATGAACCCTATCCTTATTATAAATTCTATAAAACAATGCCCGCCACTGGCACAACCACAGATGCACTCGAGCAAAAATCTACTACCACTTTGACCCCGACCTAATGCTCATCAACGATCACTCGTTCACAGATGACAACATCCCCAACCAAGATATTTAAAAACAATGTACAAAGTGCAAAAAGATAAGATACTTCACTCCATTGCATCAACTGTATAGACTTCTACACACTTTTCAACAGGCCCCAACCCGTTTACCTCTTCTGTGATGTAAACGCAAAAAGCATCTCGCTAGAAAACAGTTCCTCAACCACTTAGGAAAACAGTTACACTCACTCACAGCCCAAACCAAATTACCAACGTCGGTCCCCCTACTTTCCAACCATCATCACTCATCACAGCACGACATAATTAACCAGTTGGTCTTGCACAACAATAAGACATTTCACAACACCCAACTACAACCAGGACTCCTCATACCGTCCGAACCCCAAATCCTACCTCTTGAGTCTCGAACGACTTACCCACCACCTTAACTTTCATCATCGTCACCATTGTCACCCTCTCCCATCATAACATCCTTTTTTGAAAAGAGAAATCCAAATCTTTAAACACACAAATCTTTGGACGTGATTCTTTTTCAACTAATTTGCAGTCTCCAAATTGATCACTTAGAAAATGTTTATGAATAAATATTGATTAATTCTAGGAAATTGGGATTCGTATAATGTATAACTCAAACGAGTAATGCCATTGCCGTCCCGCCGAGTGAAACAACTTTTAACGGATAAACGTTGTGCACTTTTGCAACCCAGACTGAGTACAGACGCTTCTACGACGTAGCCACTGAACCGCAGTCTAGTGTCGTTCTGGATACCGGCGCAGCTTAGGAGTAATTAATAAAGTTAATACCTTAGGATTCTATCGCTAGAATTTAATTGACTAGTTTTGATGATTTGATGCTGTGTGTGCAGCACCGTTGGATTATTTACTGTTGCTTCGCAAATTTATTCTGAACGAGTGTATGTTTAAACTAAATCCAAGTTGTGTGTGCATAAGGGAAGTTGATTTTACACATCTGCAACTATCAATGCAGAATTAATTTTTGATTAGTGATATGTTTTTCTCAGGTTTCATTCGGTCCTCTTAGCTTTCTATAATTTTTATGTTATTCTCCTTTGAGTTGGTTTATTTAATTTTATTCATAAAATTTGTGTGTTTCTGTACTCATGAATGTTATAAAACTTTTACTGACACTTCCTGAACCTGAACCGCATGATATCATTCAACCGCTAAAGTTATAAAACATAAATCAGTATTTCATAGCTATACGTCCCTAACTCGATCTTACAGATCAATTTATTAGATTTTGCATATAGCGTAGTTGATTTATTAGGTAATTTTTTGTTTCTTTTTCTTAGATGAATTAAGAAGTTTTGCATATAGCGTAGTTGATTTATCAGGTTTTTTTCATTATTTTTTCATAGATGATTTAAGAAGTTTTATCCCATTCGTTTTTATGTCCTAATCGAGTTTTGCGTGATTTGCTTAAATTCGTTTATTTGTTGTGCCATAATCAAAACTTTTGAGAAGCTTTCGACTCCTGAGAGGGTAACCTAGAACGATCACTGTAATCCTAAATTAATTGTCGTACTCTTATTGTTTTAGAAAACGGGTAATGCGATCCGCGCACTGGGGCGTATGGCGAGCCTTACTAACCGTCGCAACTCACGGTCCTCCTCCCCAACCTGCCTCTCCCCTTTACCGGAGCAGCAGCCTTACTCCCCATCCTCCTCCTCATCCACCGCATTCCCTCTCCTCAACGGCGACAAGAAATCTTGTCCCCCCAGCGTGCGGGGTAACAGCGTTGTTAGCGAGCGCAGCGACTCTGGAATCAGCGAATGTTCAGTTTCAGTAGACGAGTTGCTTCATAACGCCAATAATATCCTGAAGGTGGTCGCCTCCAAGCCCCCACTAACTAATGGCACACCCCCTGCAGGCGACACCGCGCCCCTCGAACACCATGCAAAAGGGGTAGAGTGGCAGTCCTCAGTGGACTCCGCCGTGGGGGACGTCATCGATGTTCCTAAGACGTCCTCGCATCGCAAGATTTCCAGAGAAGCCTTCGTGGAAACCTCCTCTGGCTCCAGCGACGTCACCTCACACTCCCGGATTTAGAAGCCTATTCCTATATAGATACTGTTTATGGTCGTTGTACAAACTGGCACCTACTTTGCAACGTGTCTGCTTCTTGTGAAATATAGCGGCTACTTTTGAAATGTAGCTCTACTTCTAAATGACAGCTGCCTCTTTCGAAACGTTGCAGACTCTTCCGAAGCAAGGCGGCTTTTTTTTCAAGAAGACTCTCACTCTCCGAACTAGGCTTCATTTCGGGTTGAAACTTGGCCACCCGCTGTCTGTTGAGTGGCTAACTTCTTGTGAACTCTTTACAGTTGCCATAGTTTTTTTAGTGGTGACTAATTTAGTTTTTAACGAGCTAAGCCTGTATTTTTCCCGATTCGATCGACATAGAGAAAGAGTTGGAGGATATTCAACCTCGTGCGAAAAGTTATTTTATTTGTTTTACTTAAGACTAGTGGGTGATGTATGCCTGTGAGCTTGTAGGTAACATCTTTTCACTGATTTGCTCCCCATGCCTAAATAATTTAACGGCAAATCGGAGGCTACGCTGAGCATTCTTGACTTATAATAAATAAGATTTCGAGTGATACGTCGCCTTGCCTTCTGCTTAGAATTTTTCATGGCAGTATAGAAACATAGCTTAAGAAATCCTTTTCGAAAATGCTGGATGAAATATATTGTTATCAATTATGAAAGAACATATATTATAGTATATTATGACGTGTAAGCTGATAGTCATCTCCGATATTAAAATCGACTTGTGTTTAGTTCTATTTTCATGTAGCAGTAATGTTTTCAGTACGGAATCGGCATTTTATGTATATTCACATGCTCATTCTGCTCCAGTTTCAATCTTTAACGAACGCTTCCTCCGGCTCTTTTCCAGCGGCCGTGTAGTTTATTTAAGATTCAGTGGTATCTAATTAAATACATTTATCATACCCATATATGAGCCTTCCTTGTTTATCAAATATATGTTCAAGTATGTCTTTCGTCTTACTTTCCTTAAGTTGTAAACTAGTGACGTTAAGTTTTAATAATACAAAGGGCCTTGAAACATTAATGAAAACCTAGATGTAGGATCTACTCAAGCGACGGCGGAAATGCAATGTCGTGATAAAGAATATTAAAGCGTCATTTAAGCGGAACCAAGTGACAGCTACAGGGTCGTAACTCGTAATTAACTCAACTTTGTTATTATATAATAATAATAATAGCGGTTTCAGCGTTTATTAGGCCGTAGGCCTGTCGCCGATTCTTAACATCGCAGAATATTCACAGCATTTTGAGGTCTCGAACTCGCAACGCACTGCTACAATTCTGCTGTGCTTAACCGCCCGGCCTCCTTGCCGATTCTGACCAGTCCATACTTTCAAAACTCGCTAAGTGAACGTATGTACTTACGCTCTATTTTCTTGTCTATTATTGGTGGATTTTGCTTGAAAGGCAGTCAATGATTGGCTGGTGAACTTACGATCTCTTAACTTTTTTTGAAGGTATGGGCCCAGAAGCCGACGCACAGAGCTGGGATCGAACCCGCGCCTCTCTAGTGCGTCAATCTTGGTACTCTGCCAGGGGCCATACTTTCAAAATTCGCTAAGTGAACGTAAGCACTTACGCTCTATTTTCTTGTCTATGATTGGTGGATTTTGCTCGAAAGGCCGCCAATGATTGGCTGATGAACTTACGATCTCTTAACTTTTTTTGAAAGTATGGGCCCTGAACTTTAACCACTGGGCCCCCAGCGATGTTGATATCTTTAATCCATTTCATTCAATCAAGTTTGAATTACTTTATTGGCATTCGTGAGATGGTATACGAGAAATTGTCCATTAGTATGCATTACATTTGACATTTTAAATTGTCAATATCAAAGTCACTCATAAATATTAGTGATGATTAACTCCAGAGTCGCTGATGGACATAGGTGAATGTTTACTCCAGAGTTATTGTTGGACCTTGATGATGGTTGTCACCAGAGTTGTTGATGGACATTGGTGATGGTTGACTCCAGAGTCGAGGACATTGCTTCACTGGCATGCTGAGATTAGCAATTGCATAAGCACTTTTCCAAACTATACGGGGAATATGGAATGGAAATAGAAACTGTAACGTCCGGTGACATTTTGATCACAGTCTTATGTATGCCGAATATGCGTAAAAGTGTGTTGTTGAAACTTATCGACACTTCTCCGAGCTCAATTGAATGCATTTGGTTAGAATATGAATAGATGTTATGAGTGGGTAACAACTGAATGTCTATTTAGCTCATGGTTGAACTTCTAGTACAACCATGTATTTGGCCTGTTGCTGTCAATGTGGGCTCTACAAAATGGCCCTATAAAATAAACGCGAGACTGCTGGAAAATCAATCGTGACATATTGGCATTAACCACTGGGCAGAGTGGCCCAGTGGTTGAAGTTCAGAGTACCAAGATTGGAGCTGAAAGGTGCGGGTTCTATCCCAGCAGCTCTGTGCGCCAGTTTCTGGTCAGAATCGTCGAGGAGACCGGGCGGTTAAGCAACAGAAAATTTGAAGCAGTGCGTTGCGAGTTCGAGCCCGCAACAAGCTGTGGATGTTCTGCAATGTTAAGAATCGGCGACAGGCCCACGGCCTAATAAACGCTGAAATCGCTATATGTACTTATACTATATTGCATAGAGACAGGGCGATATTAGCAAAAACAATCAATAATATAATTATTGCTTCATATGAAGTTTCTTGAAATGAGACTATGGATTGCACATGATTTTGATAAATTACAAATATTTAGTTCTGTAATATAGCATCATATCATGATTGGTGCATGTGGATGAGCGCATTTCTGAATGTAAACAACTGCGCTCAGTGACAGAAGAAACAGCTGATCATTGAGTTGTTGCCTTGTTGGTCTGTGGTCTATCCTTTAAAAAATTAGTTTATATGATATAATCACATTTAAATTTTATTATTCAGGTAAATATTTGTATTTCTCTAAATATGAATTATACTGGAATCTAGATGGTATTTTCTCATTATTTTATCAACAATTTTTTTTCGGTAGCTATCATTGCAGCGCTTCCTGAGGCTGCAGGCCTGAGCCTTGAGGCTGCAGCCTGCAGATTCAGTACCAAAACTTTTAACTAGCCTATATTACTTGCTTCAGAAGATTAGGATGAATTGAAAAAGGCTGTGATCAACATAAGTGAGAAAATGAGACCAGAACTGCCATCAAACGGGGTAATAAGGAACGCTTCTTTTCGTTTTTTCTTTGACAATTTCTCACCATGAAAAATTTTGTAAACAAATTTGGGGTCATTTTAAAGGTCTTTGCAAGGGCTATTAGCTTGTTATATGCATATTAGCTAATCAGCAGGTATTATTGCAGATTAACTACATCCAAAAAAAAGGGTGTTTTTTTTTTTGAATTATATGTTTTTTGGGGTGTAGATTACGAATCTGAAATCCATTTTTGGCGGTCGGCATCGGAAAACCGATTTTTTTCGCGACTTACTATAATGTATCTCCAGATTTATGGACAAAGAAGACGAAAATGTTACCCGTTGCAGTGCAACGGGTAACATTTTCGTCTTCTTTACCCGTTGCAGTGCAACGGGTAAGTTTCATTCAAGATGTCGTGCGCTACGTGTGATCTCTCGATGTGGCAATGTACTGAGGTCGGAAAAAAAATCGGTTTTCCGATGCCGACCGCCAAAAATGGATTTCAGATTCGTAATCTACACCCCAAAAAACATATAATTCAAAAAAAAAAACACCCTTTTTTTTGGATGTAGTTAATCTGCAATAATACCAATCAGCATATGCCATATGGCATATCTGAAAAAAGTCCATATGCTATCTGTAAGGTGCCATCAGCAAAAAATAAAGTGTCCCAGTTATCCCTGGCCCTGAAAATGGGCTAATGGTCTTTGCAAATTGCAAGGGCTATCATTATCATATGGCATCTCCAAAAAATTTCCAAATGCTATTTGTAAGGTGCTAGGACAGCTAGATGCAATATAAAAGGCTCCTGAATTAATCTGGAAATGGGGTAATTAGGGACACGTAACTCACACGTGAGATAAAACTCAATTTTAAAACGTTTGAAGCATCAAGCATGCAGAGTCAGAGACTCAGAGTGTAGGTACTCATGTTAGTCATGTATTACTAACAGTGATCTGAAGTCATCCTCTTTCTTGTAGATGATGCATATGTAGAATCAATAACATTTTCTGTGATTTTTACTCATTTTCCCTTTATTGATATGATATTATCATATTCATTAATTACTGTATTATTAATGTGATATTACCATATCCATGGAAAAGCCATTGAGCATCAACAACAGCCTTGTCCACTGCAAGCTTAATATCAGCAGCCATGTAGCATTTCTTCTGCATCTGTAAGCTTACAGGATGGCTTGTAATTTTGCACAATTTTAATCAAGTCGAGTGATTTTACTATACCATAACAAAAAAGATTGTAAAAAACATACCTGAAACAGGATAGAATATTTTAGTGATAACCTTCATATTTTTTGGAGAAATAAATCAAAGTTTAGGTTATTAGTTTTCATTCTTTGTTGCCAGTGCTCAATTCTATCTATGACAATCTATGCACAATTTTGTGATGACTGATGCAGTAATTTTTTGTTGAGTGAAATTTTTTTCAATGAGCAAGGTAAATGCAATCAAATTTCTTTGTTGTTGATTGATTTTTTCATGAACTGGAGCCTTTCTTAAGCAAGGCTCTACTTTAAATGCGATTTTAGGGGTGTCCCTTATTACCCCGGGGGTGTGTTCCTTATTACCCCATTTTGCATAAATGGCCACAATTTTTTCTTGGAATGAGATACGCAAATTCTGCCAATCACGTTTATAAGCCAACGCCAGTGTGCAACTTTTATGTAAGTAAGATTTTTTAATACAACAAATATTTTTTCTGTAACAGACCATAGCAGAGGTACTACATTTTCAAATTCTCACCTTTCACATTTTTTTTCAGGGATTTTTTAGAGGTAATAAATGTATGATTTCTCAACTTGCTTTATGCTGCATAGATAAGTAGTAAAAATGTTGAACTTTATGCCACTATTTTTAATTTTACAATATTTTGATTTGTTTAGCTGCTACAACACTTCTACAAAATGTTGGAGGACTGTCCCGTTTTACCCCGCCCGTCCCTTTTTACAATGTTTGACAGTATTGATTTTTTATTCAGAGATGCCATACAATAGCCCTCGCAAAGGCCTTTAAAATGAGCCCAAATTTGTTTATGGAATTTTTCATGGTAACAAGTTATCAACAAAAAATGCTAAGAAACATCCCTTATTACCTTATTTGACAGTATCTATATTTTTATTTTTTTTATATTGTTTGTGATTACAACAGACTTTGCTACTTTTATTTTCTGAGTGATTGATGAATTATTCTGAAAAGGTAAATAGTATGTGTATATTGATAAATGTTAAATGAAACTCTTTTTCATGTATAAGTCAGATGGGGTAAGACAGGACCAAAATCACTAACAGGCATTTAGCATCTATACCATGAATAAATAAAAATCCTAAACTTATCATAAGGTGTGGTTATGCAATGGGCTTCAAAGCTACAACTCAGACTTTTTGCATACAACACAGTTTTCTGTACAGATTAAAAAAAGTGAGCTGGTCCTGTCTAACCCCATAGGGGTAAGATGGGATCAGGCTGGGGTAAGAAAGGACCAACAGGTAATTCTTATGTTACAAGGTTTTTAGTAAAAATATAAATCTGATATTCAATATTATCCATCTAGAAACACATTATTTGATTAAACAACCACTTGTTACTATTTTGTGTTGCAGGAAGTCAACTCTAATATCAGTCACATTGGAGTTTTTGCCACGAGAAAACTTTGTTAAGCATAGAAATAGTAGGTTGGCTTTGATTCATTGTAGAGCACAGCCACATGTTACATGTATATTCCATTAGTGTACTTGTCTGAAAATTTATAAAATTTGTAATAAAACCAATAGATAATAAGTTAAGAGTTGGACGTCATGCGTTTTCTTGCTAACTGCATTTGTGGTGCACTTCTTCAAACATAGCCCATGCCCTCTCACAAAATTGTGATAATTATTTTTCATGTTTCACACAATGATTTTTCCCCCAACCACTATTGCACATTGTTCTGCAGCTCACTAATGGGAAGAGACATCCCTATTTTCTCCATCCCCATGATGCAATTCACAATAGTATGCTAAATTTATCTAATAAAAAAAGCTAACAAGCTAGAATGGTTATTTTAAGCAAAAGATGAAAATTTGACCAAAATACTCCATGTATACTTATGCACAATAGGTAATATATTCATTTAATAGCTATTTTTGATAAACTATGGGGTAAAAGAGGACTGTTTGTGGCAATTGTGGGGTAAGACAGGACCATTTGTGGGGTAAGATAGGATCACTTGTGGGGTAAAACAGGATCATGTTGTGGTCCCGTCTTACCCCATGTCTGGTCCTTTTTTACCCCATTTTAGAATACATGTCAGGCAGTGATTGTAGCAGGTAGGAATGCCTAGTATGTCTCAAAAGTTGCTTATTACTTGAGGTTACCTGCCTACATCCACAAACCTGGCCAAAAAATTTTTTGTAATCAGACAGAGCTTATTTTCCAAATAGGGTTAACTATTTTGTGACCCTTCTTTACATAGGTTTTCTTTAAAAATTAACCAAAAATTCATTATTTGCAGAACAGGGTTGAAACAAACACTGAAATGACTGGCAATGATTGCTCTAACATATTCTTTTGTCAAATTAAATTCAGTGCAATTAGAATGCATGCCATGGGCTGGTCCTTTCTTACCCCATGAAGGCTGCGATCCTGTCTTACCCCATTTGACTATAATTTTTATGTTTTCTTGCCAAAGTTTTTTTTATATTTTATTTAAAAATGGGGGATGCATTCATGTCATGCAGGTTTTCAGATGGGCTGCGTTTTGAGCCATGACCAGCAGCCTGGAAAAAGTGTCCAAGTTCCTGGAGGCTCTGAAGGCATCGCATAGCAGCAGCGGTGATGGTAGCTCTGGGGGCACAGGTCCGGGCTTGGGCCAGACTGTGCTGGCCTTCCCAAGCTCCACTGAACAGTTCTTTGAACAGACAGCTGCTGTGGCCTCGTCCATCTCTCAGCAAGGTCAAACGTTCCTTAGGTAACTGCTGTATTTAGGCATGGAATGAAGCTAGGTTGATTGAATTACTTCATAATAATTTTAAATTTTTATGAAATAGAAAATGTGGATGATAAATTCTTGGCTAACCTTAAATGAGTATTTCAAGATTAATTTGTTTCATGGATCACTCATAGATACTGCACAGGTGTTTAGCTTATGAGTTATCTGGAGTAACCAAGGACTTTCTCTTGAGTTTGGTATGTCTTCTGCTCCAACGCACTTACCATTGGCACCTCCATGGTTTTTCATATATAAATTGATTTGGTTGCATATACTTCATTCATAATACAATTAAAATGAATTGTAGCAGACATTTATAGGAATTTTAATATATTAATCAACTTGAAATTATCTACCTATTTTAATAGCTGGGTGACGCATTTTGCTGTATTATTCTATTATTCAGCAAGTAGAACCTTACCTAGGCATGTTTGACTGCACTGCTTAAAATTTATGCAAGCCAATAAGAGCAAAAATCCATTTGCCTTCAGAGTCAATACTACCTACCTACAAAAAATAAAGAACTTGAGTTAGAATACTTCATTCAGAATATTTAGTCTCAGCTCCATCAGGAGAGTTCAGATATCATGAAATTGCAAAATGTCATACAGATTTAGTTAGTAATTAAAAATAACTAATAAGTAATAAAAATAATTAAATTAATTTGACTTAGTTAAGGCACATGTAAAATATATGCGCTTTTGTTTTGAAATGTAACTAACAGTCTTGCTTCACAAGGCTTAACTGTAACTGCTTTTCTTACACTCTGAATTTGTGCATTTTCCTGTACTGAACAGCAACTGAAAGCCTGGTCTGGGTAGAAGTATGCGCTCTTATTTCTGTTGTACGCTGAATGCTGTCACTGTTTCTGTTGTATGCTGTCACTGTTTCTGTTGTATGCTGTCACTGTTTCTGTTGTATGCTGTCACTGTTTCTGTTGTATGCTGTCACTGTTTCTGTTGTATGCTGAATGCTGTCACTATTTCTGTTGTATGCTGAATGCTGTCACTGTTTCTGTTGTATGCTGAATGCTGTCACTGTTTCTGTTGTATGCTGAATGCTGTCACTGTTTCTGTCATATGCTGAATGCTGTCACTGTTTCCGTTGTATGCTGAATGCTGTCACTGTTTCTGTCGTATGCTGAATGCTGTCACTGTTTCCGTAGTATGCTGAATGCTGTCACTGTTTCTGTCGTATGCTGAATGCTGTCACTGTTTCCATTGTATGCTGAATGCTGTCACTGTTTCTGTTGTAAGCTGAATGCCGTCGCTGTTGTACGCTGAATGCTGTCACTGTTGTACGCTGAATGCTGTCACTGTTGTACGTTGAATGCTGTCACTGTTGTATGCTGAATGCTGTCTCTGTTGTACGCTGAATGCTGTCACTGTTGTAAGCTGAAAGCTGTCACTGTTGTATGCTGAATGCTGTCACTGTTGTAAGCTGAATGCTGTCACTGTTGTACGCTGAATGCTGTCATTGTTGTACGCTGAATGCTGTCACTGTTGTATGCTGAATGCTGTCACTGTTGTACGTTGAATGCTGTCACTGTTGTATGCTGAATGCTGTCACTGTTGTACGCTGAATGCTGTCACTGTTGTATGCTGAATGACATCACTGTTGTATGCTGAATGCTGTCACTGTTTCTGTCATATGCTGAATGCTGTCACTGTTGTATGCTGAATGACATCACTGTTGTATGCTGAATGCTGTCACTGTTGTATGCTGAATGACATCACTGTTGTATGCTGAATGACATCACTGTTGTATGCTGAATGCTGTCTCTGTTGTATGCTGAATGCCTTTATTCTGAGCAGCAAGCGAGAGCCTGGCCTAAGCAAGCGGGACCGCATGAGCCACTGCCAGGTGTCGGTAGACGCGGTGCTCGCCGCCTTCAGTAGCAAGACCCGGGGCTCCTCGGCCCCTGAGAGCCTCAGCAAGACGCAGGACAGCGCCAGACTCCTCAGCCTGACGGTGGAGACGCTGCTACTGCTGGTGGATGATGAGCAACCTGACGTCAGGATGACGGCTGATGAGGGTCTCAATAGGATCACGAGGGTGAGATCCTGTTGACTATTCCTATCAGCAATTGTAAATTGTATGTAAAGCATATGGAAATTGTACGTAAAGCGTATGTAATTTGTACGTAAAGCGTATGTAATTTGTACGTAAAGCGTATGTAAATTGTATGGAAAGCATATGTAAATTGTATGTAAAGCGTCAATTGTCGGTAAAAGCGTTCAGTATAATTGATTCAGTATAATCTTATGTAATCATTGATCATATAAGTATATAATCATTGATTTATTCAGTATTATCTTGACCGATAGTAATGCCTTGCCTGGTGTCATGGTGGCTGCTGATGAACTGTTTTCAGCACGATGTAACAAGAGGAAATTCTTATTTTGTTTATCAGTGAAAATGGCGTTTAGAAAATTCATATTGTTTAACGCTGTCCACACTATAGAAAAAGTCAGATTGTGCAATGTGAATGCAAAGATTTATTACTATAATAATCTTGATTATTTTTGAAATTCATTTATTAGCGTAATAGGTTACTTACCAATATTACGTTACCAAAACTTCAGAACTAGTTCTTCAGATTGATTTAGAAGATGTTTTAAGTGCGAGTCATGCTGTATGTTTCTTCAGGATAATATTGAGGATATTTTTAGTTTATGTCATGCTGGTATGTCCATTTCTTCATAGTGATATAGTAGAGGATGTTTTTAGTTTATGTCATGCTGATGTGCTCATTTCTTCATAGTGATATAGTAGAGGATGTTTTTAGTTTATGTCATGCTGATGTGTCCATTTCTTCATAGTGATATAGAGGATATTTAAGTTCATGTCATGCTGATGTGTCCATTTCTTCATAGTGATATAGAGGATATTTAAGTTCATGTCATGCTGATGTGCTCATTTCTTCATAGTGATATATAGAGGATATTTTGAGTGCAAGTCATATTGTAAAAATTGTTTCGTTCAGGGCGTGCCAGCTGCCCAGACAGCTAAGGTGTTCGTCGAACAAATGAAGGAGAAGAAGAATGGCTCGGCGCGCGTCATTCGTGCTGCTCTCGCCAGGTTCGCTGTTCTTGCCAAGCAAATAAGGTGAGAATTTCTCGTGCGGCGGTCAATTTCGTCCAGTCTACTGGCTTTATTTACGATTCATGACAATTCAATTTACTATAAGAGGACTCGAAATTTCCATCGAATTGTGTCAGTAGAGTGTTTACGCAACATTTATATCACGAGAATGTTGGTTCTTTTATATTTTTCCATAAAATAATGCAAGTAAATCACGTAATTGTATTAAATATACCGTGCAATTGTTTTAATATAATTAATACAATTGCATTAATATAATTGTATTAAGCATATATTTAAATTACGCAGTTATATCAAGTAGGTATATATCACAATTACGCAATTATATTAAGTAAATATTCAAATTACGCAATTATGTCAAGAATATATTCTAATTACGTAATTTTACTATGTATATATTAAAATTACTTAATTGTATTAAGAATACATTAAAATTGCGTAATTACCTATACTAAGTATATACCTATTCAAATAACGCAACTGTATTAAGTACCGTATATATTCACATTACTTAATTATATTAAGTATATATATACATGACTTACAGAGTGCAGAAGGGCCGAGCCTACATGCAGAGGCAACTGTATTAAGTTTATACACAATATAGACGCAACTGTATTAAGTATAACATACATGCAGACGCAACTGTATTAAGTATATACACAAATTACTCAATTATATTAAGTATATGTTGACATGACTTACAGAGTGCAGAAGGGCCGGGCCTACATGCAGACGCTAGTGCCGCTGCTGTGCAGCTTCTCACAGCGCCCTGAGGAGAACCTACACGAGAGCCTAGCTACAGCCGTCACTAGTGTCTGCTCAGCCCTCGGACACTTCGCTTCTGACAACGAGCTGAAACTTCTGCTCACAGCTTACCAGCCTAACCTCGCTCACAAGTCTAATATCATCCGTAGGGCCGCTGCTCAGATACTAGTGGCCATTTGCAGACACTGTCGCAAGCCCAACCTGTTCCTAGGACTGCTGGTCGCCTTGCTGCTCAAGATGCTGGTGCCTCTGCCTAGATCTCAGTGTCTGGTGAGCAGGAATATGGTACTATGGGGATGTCAGGTGAGCAGGAATATGGTACTATGGGGATGTCTGGTGAGCAGGAATATGGTACTATGGGGATGTCTGGTGAGCAGGAATATGGTACTATGGGGATGTCTGGTGAGCAGGAATATGGTACTATGGGGATGTCTGGTGAGCAGGAATATATACTAGGTGAAGGGAGGTGCCAGGTGCCTGGTGAGCAGAGATATATACTAGGTGAAGGGAGGTGCCTGGAGTCTGGTGACATTTAACACTTGGTCACCTGTAGTATATAATAACAGATGACATGTAGAAATCTTTTTATTTTGACAGATCAGGATCCAAATACTTTCACGTACCTATGTTGTATGGCTACTTCATTTAGATTAGAAATAATTAATGGGTTTATTGTTTATTTTAATCTTAACAAGTTAACTATACCTGCGACTGTCACGGCATCAGGTCTCTGAGCCCAAAAATTTCGGCCGTGGGTTTACCACGGGTTGTTTAAATAATTTGATTATTATTAATAAATAATAATAACGTTAATAGATAAATTTCCAGTGAGACTTTACATAAATTTCTTGTTATTTGTCGGCAACCTGAACGTAGTCTCCAAATTACAAGAAATTGTCATTTTGTCAGGACCAAGTCAAAGTGAACGACAGTAACTCACCAAAGGATGATGATATGACGCGGATATATTTTTAAACTTGATTTAAAACATTATCAGAGGAATTGGTCGTACATGAAAAAATATAAATTCTAACTGTGATAGTTTATCCCCTTCTAAAGCCGCATATAGTTAAATTATATAGTTAAATTAATTAATATTGATTAATTTCATTAGATCAACAGCAAAAACTACTACCGTCAATGCCTTTAAACTCCGCCTCAGCACCGATGACGCCGGCCGTCAAAAGAAACAATCTATTTTCGTAACAAAATTGAGCCATAACTTTCTAGTTATGGCTCAATTTGGCACTTTCTAGTTATGGCTCAGATCTGAAAATGTTATTCAGTTATTATGTGGCAATCGAAGCCAAAAAATTTTAATTCTGAGCAATACAATAGGATTTGTAGACAAGGTATGAGTAACACGGGTGCCTAGTGTTCACTCAAGTGTGCCATTCGCTGACTGCCGTGTCACGTGCCACTGAAGTGCAATTAAAGTGCCATCGAAGTGCCAGTGAAGTGCCACGGAAGTGCCTTTGAAGTGTAACTAAAATGACACTAAAATGCCACGAAAGTGCCAGTGAAGTGCCACCGAATTGCCACGGGAGTGCCTTTGGAGTGTAACTAAAATGACACTAAAATGCCACGAAAGTGCCTCTAAAGTGCCAGTGGAGTGCCACTAACTTGCCTCTAATGTCCCCCCGTCGTAGGTGCTCGGGGGGCTGTCGTGTCTGCGGCTGCTGGCCCCCCACCTCGCCTCCATCTGCCCCCCCTCCAGCGACGACCCCAGCGCGCCCCCTCCCTCTGACTCCCACTGCTACTCCGTCTCGCTCCCCCAACTGCTCACGGTCAGTCGCTCCCCCAACTCCTCACGGTCAGTCGCTCCCCCAAACTCCCCACTGGGATTGGTTAAAAATTTATTGGGACGGCAGCTCCTGGCAGTCGCGTAGGGTTTTTTTACCTCGTTTGTTGGGGTAATATTAGGGGAAGAATTAAGTCAATTAAGTCATTGATTTATTAGTACATTATAACAGTCATGCAGTGTGTGGTGATGTGCAGTGTGTGGTGACGTGCAGTGTGTGATGACGTGCAGTGTGTGGTGACGTGCAGTGTGTGATGACGTGCAGTGTGTGGTGACGTGCAGTGTGTGATGACGTGCTATGTGTGGTGGCGTGCAGTGTGTGATGACGTGCAGTGTGTGATGACGTGCAGTGTGTTATGACGTGCAGTGTGGTGACGTGCAGTGTGTGATGATGTGCAGGTATACCAGCTGGCAGTGCATCACAGCAGCAGTGTGCACCACAACACCGCCACCGCAGGGCTGGAGCTGCTCAGGGTCAGTTCATCACACTTCTCTACTTGCCGTTCTCTTCATCACACCCTCATTTATATCATTCCTAATTTTATTTCATAGCTATTTCTAATATTTTTATTGTCTTTGTATTCTCTATTTCTATTTTCTTTTTATGCTTCACTAATTATCTTATTTCTTCATTATCTTATTCCCTGTCCATGTAGATATCAGTAATATCAATGCTAATCTTTTAATATTCTATTTAATGTAAGTATGCATATGGAATACGTGATTTTAATTGGTGAATAATTGGAAGCTTATTTTGCAGGGAGTAGAGAAGCATATTATGTGTATATGGTGGCCAGGCATCTCATCATACGAGACATTTCATCACTATAGCAATTCATCATTAGGACATTTCATTATTATAGCCATTCATCATAAAATTTCATCATTGCAAAAATTGCATTTTACGTAAATGTGGGTTAGGTTGAGTTTGTTTTAGTTCAAAGTCGCTCAAAGCTGGTGCGGTGTTGAAACTGGAGTCAGTTCAGCGGACCTTCACGTACAGGATGATACAGGATGAGGGAGCTGAATGAGGGAGCTGATGGTGTAGGCTGAAACACCTGGAACTGTACTCACTGGAGAGAAGAAGGGAAAGGTATATCGTACTGGTACTGTTCACTTGGAAGTATTAAACGGACTGGCTCTCAACTTAGAGAGTGAGACCTCCAGAATAGTGACACGTTATCACGAAAGAAGGGGGAGACTGTGCGAGGTTCCCCCATTTAATAACCGAGCCGCGGCCAGAGTACAGACTCTTCGTGAGGGATTACTGTCCGTGGTAGGACCGAGGCTCTTTAATGTCTTGCCAAAAGCGCCGAGAGGAGGGGAGTTTACCCTTGCAACATTCAAGAGACAACTGGACAAGTGGTTGAGAAAGATCCCGGATTGTCCAGTAATGGGGAAACTACCATCAGCAAGCGACAAGCAACAGCATCTTGCATCAGCGTGCCCAAAGGAGGGCAAATAGACGGAACACGTCCAATGTTACATCCGGGACCCGAGGGCGGGGTGACCTGCCTAGCGACGACTCGGAGACGGAGGACGACGAAGGCGGCGCATCAGGGTAACCGTGGACTAAGAAGTCCTAAACCCATAAGGTCATAAGGAGGTGCCAGTGTACTTGTGTGTGTACAAGCTACATCCGAAGGTAGTCTAGTGCGAGGGATATAATCCCCAACGACACTAGAGGGATATAAGAATGATGATCCGCATCACAACGCAGGGATGTGCTCAACTGCCTAGGATACGAGCCTCAGCAAGTCATGGAAAGAAAAGCTTGAGATGAGAGCTGCAGTAAATATATCAAATAGCAGACCCTGGTTGGTCTGATTTAAAGCGTCACGTGGTTTGTGTGGCAGGCTCTGCTGCAGTACGCCCCTGGGGCCCTCGTGGTGGCCCTGGTTACTCCTGGCGGAGTCCCTCAGTGCTACCTCCCTCTGGATGCTGCAGCTCCTGAAGATGCTACTGTTGCGGGTGCTGCTGCTGCTGAGGGTGCTACTGCTGCTGCTGCTGTTTGCTGCTGCTGCTGCTGATGATGATGATGATGATGGTGCTGCTGCTGCTGCTGAGGGTGCTGCTGCTGCTGCTGCTGAGGGTGCTGCTGCTGCTGCTGCTGAGGGTGCTGCTGCTGCTGCTACTGCTGAGGGCACTGCTGCTGCTTCCAAAACCACGGACTACTCCCCTCCCGACACAGCAGACTCCGCGCTGTCCCCTGACGGCACTCCACGATCCCCTCGTGAGTTTGTTGGTTTTTTTGAGCGAGCAAATATTGTGTTTGATGGTTCCTGCAAGATTTCTTGGCCAACTAATTTAAAGTCAATTTATTGAACTTAGAAAGCCCATTGATTTAGGTCTGACGTGAAATGAAAGTTAAAGTATATTGATGGGGAGTATAAATGTCGATTTAAATTACGAGAGGCTATTGCATGTTTTAGTAGAAGTAATTTTTGAAGGTAAGATGATGATGTTTTATTCAGGGTTTTTTTCTTGCTTCTACTTATTTTGCTTGCGGCGCTGAAGCATTCAAAAGTTGAATTGAAAGGAAGGAATTTGTGAAGAGTCTTGAATGAAAGTTTTTGTGAAGAGTCTCTAATGGAGTCTTGTGAAGAGTCTTGAATAGAAGAGTTTTGAGAAGAGTCTTGAATAAAAACTTTTGTGAAGAGTCTGTAATGATGACTTTTGTGAAGAGTCTTGAATAGAAGAGTTTTGTGAAGAGTCTTGAATAGAAGAGAACGTCTTGTAAAAAGTTTGTGGGGGCAGTTGGAGGTCGCCTGGTGGGGGCCATGGGTGACGATGATGCCACTAGCCTGGAGCCCGACACCCCCTCGTCTGGGGGAATGCTGCTCGCCCACACGTCCCTGGAAGACGATGGAGGTGGTGGCTGTGACGAAGACGACTTGGTTGTGACAGGCGACGTGTCAGCTGCGACAGGCGACCTGTCACCTGCGGCAGGCAGCGTGTTAGCTGCAGCAGACGACGTGTCAGCTGCGACAGACGACCTGTCAGCTGCGGCAGGCAGCGTGTTAGCTGCAACAGGCGACACGTCAGCTGCGGCAGACGACGTGTCAGCTGCGGCAGACGACGTGTCAGCTGCAACAGGCGACACGTCAGCTGCGGCAGCCGGTGCCAGCTTTTCTTCCGATCTTTACGCCAGCGTCGAGATCGGTCAGCTAGCAGGTAACCAAAGAAACTGTCTTTGTAATATCAATAAGAAAATTATAAATATTTTTTTCGTTGTTGGAAGACATAGCACATGTACGTTATTAGCCATTAATAGTTCCTCAATAATACGTGATAAGTTCTAGTTCGTCACTAGTGCAGTATGAACCATATTTCTAGTTCATGACTTTGTGAACCGCTGCTTGCTTTGCATTGGGTCTTGCGTTTGTCTTTTGTCTGTCAGCAACGATTGTGTTTGTCAGAAACAATTGTGTTTGTCGTTTGTCTGTCATCAACAATTGTGTTTGTTGTTTGTCAGAAACAATTGTGTTTGTCGTTTGTCTGTCATCAACAATTGTGTTTGTTGTTTGTCAGCAACAATTGTGTTTGTCGTTTGTCTGTCATCAATTGTGTTTATCGTTTGTCTGTTAGAAACGATTGTGTTTGTGTAGATGATGAAGAGCTGCACCCTCTACTGCTGGGGAGGAGAGCCCGAACTCCTGCTACCGACGATCAGGTGGGCCATGAGGGACGTTCTCAAGCTGTTGAAACTGCTGCCGCTGACTCTGCTTTCGCTGACTCAGCTGCCGCTGATTATGTTGCTGCTGACTCTGCTACCGCTGACCTTGATGACGCTGCTGCAGTCTCCTCTGCAGCTTCCAAAGACTCCTCCAAGGTGAGATACGTTTCGCCTTGTAAACGATAGAAATTATTCGCTATTAGTTTTAATATGTGTAATTGAACCATTCACTATTACTTTTAATATGTATCGATAGTGTAATTGAATAACCACGTCTGACGTAGACACCTCAGTAACAGTAGAGTGCAGCCTTACTGCAGTAGCAGCTACGTATGGCGAGGTCAGGTCTGGGTGGCTGTGAGTCGGGGAGTCAGTCGTGTCCTGCCAGCCCTACAGTAAAGTTTCTAGTAGCTCTATTAACCCTCTACCGCCGTATGTCACTTTCTGGGAACATAACTTTCAACTTAGATTATACGATACATATTGAGTGCAGCAACGTGAGGACGTTTGTACGCAACAGAAAACATTTAAAGTTGTCGTACGTGGCGGCAACCATCAGTGCAAGTCATTTTGCGCTCACTAGAACGTATCCTTTTTGGGTAGTAGACTTGTGACAATATTGCTCTCGTTACTCATTGTGACAATATTGCTCCGGTTACTCATGTAGGCGGTAGAGGGTTAAGTACTATATGTATCATCAACATTTTAATGAACAGAAACCAGGAACAGTAAAATCCAGTTATTGAACAGTGACAGGAACTTCATCCAGATCGGTCTTTCAACGAGATAGGTAGTTACCAGCGTATGGCCATAGAGCTCAAGCCTCCTGACAATGCTGAGAAGTTGCGGCGAGCGCCCGGTGATTACTTAACTAGTGTAACTAATATGAGTGGTAAAATGGATAACTTTACTAAACATTTATTGTCTTTAATGTAGTAAATTGGAGCCGGGCTTTATATATAGCCCGGCTCGGGCTATATATTCGAACTTGTGATCCTCGCTTTGCTTTATTGCTGCTGCTTTTTTAATTATTCATGTGTACTATTTTTAATATCACGCTATTTACGAGGTAGCACGCATGGTATAGTCACGCCAAGTACATTACGTTAGGCGGCAGTAGTCAGTATGTACTCAGTTGACTGCCCACTGTCGTACTGAACGGTTTAGTCAGAGACTTGTCTGTGCTGGAGCAATGCGGTCTTTGCCTAGTCAGCCTGTACTCTGTAGCTATCGTGACTTTGGCTAACAATTGTTAGTTGTTACCGTGTGCAATATTCTTGCAATGAGAAGTGTCTTGCTGTGCTTATCAGTTTTATGTGTTGAACTACATTATTGAAGAAGCTAAATAAACTATTTTACCCGGTGCAAATAATCATTTTAAATGGAAGTGAAGTTGATTCTTGAATAAATTATTTTATCGTTCCGTGAGATTACGATTTTAAACAAAGTGAATTTAATAAACTATTTTAAGTGTGACTCCGTCTTCATTTTGATCCATTGTCATTGGAGCGGCATTTATACTGACGATGACTAGGAGAGTTACATCTAGAAACGGCATTATAGGTTAGATTGATGAAGATCAGTCGCCTGAAATTCAGTCGGCCTCGAGCTGTAAAGCCCCTTTCACACAGGGCAGTCGATAATGCGCGCGTCAAAAATGCCGCGGCAGTATTTACTGCCCTGTGTGAAAGGGGCCTAAGTGTTCGCCCTCTGACATTAGCGAGCTGTATAAGGTTCAACTAAAGTTAGTTAGCTTGTAGCAGCTCTAGCCGGTGACACTGCTTTATTCGTTTATCAGAATGTTTAGTCTTCATATCAGAATGGTTTAGTTTACCTAACTTGCCACCACCTGGTCAGAATGGGTTTTTAGCGTTGACTTAAGTTCGTCTATGTCAGAAGAATTATTGTACGTTGAGAATTGTTCATTAAGTGTCATGTTTGTAGCGATGACTTCAAGTCGTGTTTGTCAGAAGAATTATTTTACGTTGAGAATTGTTCATTAAGTGTCATGTTTGTAGCGATGACTTCAAAGTTCAAGTCGTGTATGTCACAAGAATTATTGTACGTTGAGAAATAGTCCATTAAGTCTCATGTTTTTAACGATGACTTTAGTTCGTGTATGTCAGAAGAATTATTTTACGTTGAGAATTGTTCATTAAGTGTCATGTTTGTAGCGATGACTTCAAGTCGTGTTTGTCAGAAGAATTATTTTACGTTGAGAATTGTTCATTAAGTGTCATGTTTGTAGCGATGACTTCAAAGTTCAAGTCGTGTATGTCACAAGAATTATTGTACGTTGAGAAATAGTCCATTAAGTCTCATGTTTTTAACGATGACTTTAGTTCGTGTATGTCAGAAGAATTATTGTACGTTGAGAATTGTTCATTAAGTGTCATGTTTGTAGCGATGACTTCAAGTCGTGTTTGTCAGAAGAATTATTTTACGTTGAGAATTGTTCATTAAGTGTCATGGCGTGTTGTGGCAGAGCTGTGGCGACGTGTGGAGCGTGTGTGGCGCGGACGTGTCGTCAGGCCGGTGGCTGGTTCGGCTGCTGTGTCGACGGTTCCTGCTGGCGGGCCACAGTGGTTCCCTGGTGGGGGGGCGCAGTGTGAGAGTGAGCGCCAGGGTGCTCGCCCTCAACTGCCTCGCCAGCCTCCTCGCCTGGATGCCTGAACTGCTCGCCGACACCCTCCACGACCAGTGCCTCGACCACCTCGGTGGGTGCCTCGACTAGTGCCTCGACCACCTCGGTGAGTGCCTCGACCACCTCGGTGGGTGCCTCGACCACCTCGGTGGGTGCCTCGACCATTGCCTCGACCA